GTCAAGGATGAAGAGTCGATTGTTGTGGGCACAGTAAAGGTGAAAAACGTCTCCTTCGAAAAGGAAGTGGTCGTGCGCGTCACATGGGATGACTGGAAGAGTCAACAGGATATATTCTGCACTTTTGCGCGGGTAAGTTCGAATATTTTCGTAGCCTTAACTTGGCTGATGTTAACTAATTAAACTCTTTGAAAAATTTCTTCTACAGGCCTACGGACCAGCAACCTTTGCTCATGTCGTATTCGATACATTCTCCTTCAAAATCACATTGCCGCCATCCTCGAAACGCTTGGAATTCTGCATTTGTTATCGTGCCAACGATCAAGAATACTGGGACAATAATGGGGTAAGACACGCTTAACCTATAAGCGCTAAGTGCTTTATTAACCAACTCTCTCTTCTTCTCCGCCGCAGGCCAAGAACTATACTATAACGAAGCGTTCGCCCTTCTACTACAATGCTCTTTCGCCATATGACAAGAATTCCTCACGCAATTCCTGCCGCGGCCATGTGATGTCAGCGCTCTCGGAGGCTTTAGCCAACTCCAAAGAGCATCAAACCCCGAATAAGTGGAGTCAGGAGTCGGGACCCTACTGGTAAATGTCATTGCTATTACAAGACAGTCAAGCTGTTGGTGAATTGAACTTGAATAAACAGTGAAGCTAAACAAGGAAAATTTCCTCAAATTAAACAGGCAACAAAAACGGAACGAGGAGAAATATTGGTGAAGGATTATTAGAAGCAAAAAATAAGGACTACGAATACCCGAGTCGCGTTAGTGATATGGGTTTCGTGCCAAAGCGAGCGCGCAACCAAAAGAATGTTACAAAATGCCAATATAGAACAAGTATAAAGTCACAGCATCAACTATAAAAGTAAAAAAATTTAGAATTGCAAAATTACAATATTAAAAAAACAAAAGAACTGGCAGGACGAGGCCGTTTTTAAAGTACGCTGACGCAGGAATATCCCAAGGCAGCAACATTTTATTGTGGTACTTAGTGCTTTATATAGCGGACTAAAAAAATTGTGCGCAGCAGCAACCTAATTACCGATCATCTAAGAATTTATACTATGTGGCCTACACTCAAAGAAGCAATTTCCACAACAAATACATATCGTACATTTTTTGAAAGTGATAGTGGTAGGCTTGAGATAGAAAATATTGATTCCCAAATAGAAAAAATTGCACCCACGGACCGCCATAACTAAAGCAGCTAATGATTTGGAAATTATGTATGAGAAGAGCAAAGAAGAAAAATTATTTTGGTGCAATATTTGAGATCACTTTGGAAAAAGCTTTAAGTTTGAAAAAATTATTTTAGTGGCCTCTGAAAAGTTGAAAGTGCTATCTATAAGCCTTACTTTAAGGGGTTTTCGAGCCTAGAATGGGACGTGATATTAACTCTGCCTGACTGAACTTACAAACAGAAAAACAAAAACCAATGTAAAATAGATATTGGACAACCAAGAGTAAGGGCCGGTTGTTCAATGGCTGGTTATCATTACCTCCCAGTTAAACA